TGGGATGAGAAAGCGTATCATGTAAAGTCGCGAGGACATCTTCTGGGAGTGTTGAATCCCTCAAACCGTCATCCTCTAATGCAGTTCAATCATCAGCTTCTTCATCCGATGCAGCTTCTTCTTCTTCAACGTTCTGAGCTTGAGAACTGTGACCAGACAGAGAGGCTCTTGGTGGTCGTTGTTGATTAACCACTGGAGAAGGAACAGGCGCTGGAGGCTGAACTGGAGCTATAGACTGAGAGGCATGGGGAGATCCGGATGCTAAACGATGAACAGAGGAGACAGATGCTCGAAACGGAGTCGTTCCAGAGCCCCGAGGAGATCCATCAGCTGCATGCTGAGATCCTTCGCCCGACTGGAAAAGCTGTAGCGGAGGTGGATAGTCTCTTAGACTCAGTTGTGGTGAAAGCTGGCGATTCGGCAGATGCTCAGTCCCATGATTTGGATCTTTAGGGTTCACCGGCGTGAACTCATACTGCGACGGAAGGCTCCTTGGTCTTCGACTCGACACACCGGAAGATGTGGGTCGAGTAGGGACGATAGTGGGTCGCTTCACCAGAGACTTCGGTCCCCTCTTCCCTCTTCCTCTTCCTCTTCCACCGCGAACACGAGGAGCCATCGATTAGACCTAAATGAAGTAGATTTGTAGAGAATCGGAGAGAAATTGCAGGGTTAGGGTTAGGGTTCGTCGAGAGAGAGAGAATTAGAGATCTAGGGTTAGAGAAATGCGGAATTAGGGTTTCCTCGGTTAGAAATAGCGGAATCTATACTATGGGCCAACGCAGTAAATCTAATGGACCAAGACCAATTAAAAGGCCTAATTAGAAATTATAGTCGCTATAAAGTGGCTAATTAGTAGCCCAGTTTAGAGACTAAACATTCAGAAGCTACTTAGTCACCTATTTTGGCGACTATACAACGACTATTCTTATCCGTCGCCAAATGCAGACGGATTAGCGACTAATGTTGTTTAGGCAACATTCAGTCGCCTAAATGTCGCAATTCAGTCCTCAAATTCAGCGACTAATTTATCAGTCGCTGAATAACGTCGCTAATGACGTGTTTTCTTGTATAAAATCTATAATACGTACTCCATTTGCTTAATCTTTCTCCATTAATCGTCTATAATCATGCAATTTCTTTTACACATTTGTATCAATGTTTTTAAATCCGATCCAGACAATGAAGCATACTTTTTTCTGAGTCACTAGATTAACCGGGTTCAAACATGGGTCAATTGATTATTATTTTAATTTATTTAAAATTTGTAGAGATTATATAGTTTTATAAATATAAAAATTAAAATTAAAATAATCATATCATGTTTTACAAAATATGAAGTCTAACAATAATAGTAACATGATTAAATATTTTTAATCCAACTAAAACCATAAAATATACTAAGATAGTAGGATAGTGAATATGAAAAACTGAAAAGGTTCTAAAAATAACTAAATAGTGAATACACAAAAAAATCTAAAATCCTATCTTTTAACGGACATTAGCACTAAACCTAAACCGGAGATATGTACGAGTCGCAAGTTAACCAAACTTACCGGACGGTTCCGGTCGGACGTAAAAACACTGATTTATACGTATATAAAGAAATTTATTGAATGACACAAAATATTCAACTTTTTTTAAAGATTGAACAATTTCTTTATTTATACAGAAAATG